ATTGGCCATTTGTATATTTTTGGAGAAATGTTTATGCTAATCCTTTGCCCATTTTTTAATTGGTTATTTATATTTTTGTTAGTGAGTTGTAAGTGTTCTTTATATATTCTAGATGCAAATTTCATGTCATATATGATTTTCTCCTGTTCTGTTGGTTGTCTTTTAATTTTCTTGGTGGTGTCCTTTGTAGCACAAAAGATTTCAATTTTGATGAAATCAATTTATGTATTTTTCTTTTGTTGCTTGTGCTTTTGTTGTCATATCTAAAAACCACTGCCTAATCCAAGGTCGTGAAGGTTTACTCCTATGTTGTCTTCTAAGAGTTTTATAGATTTATCTCTAACATTTATATCTGTGATTTATTTTTAGTTAATTTTTATGTATGATGTGAAGTAGAGATCCACCTTCATTTTTTTGCACATAGATAGTCAGTTATCACAGCATCATTTGTTGAAGAGAATATTCCTTTCCTATTGAATTGTCTTGGAACCCTTGTCAAAAATCGTTTGAACATAAATATGAAGGTTCCATCTGGACTCTCAATTCTATTCCATTGATCTCTATGTTTATCATCATGCCAGTGCCACGCTATCTTGATTACCATAGCTTTATAGTAAGTTTTGAAATCAGGAAATTTGATTCCTCCAACTTTGTTTTTATTTTTCAAGATTGTTTTGGCTCTTCTAGGTCCCTTGGATTTTCATATGAATTTTAGGGTCAGTATACCAATTTTTGCAAAGAAATCAGCTAGGATTTTGATAGGGATTGCTTTGAAGCTGTAGATCAATTTAGGGAGTATTGCTATCCTAATAATAAATCTTCCAATTCGTGATCATGGGATGTCTTTCCATTTCTTTAGGTCTTCTTTAGTTTCTTTCAATTATGTTTTGTTGTTTTCAAAATATATGTTTTATAATTTTTTAGTAAGTATAGTTCTTAGTAATTTAGTTTTTTGATGCTCTTCTAAATAGAATTATTTTCTTGATTTCATTTTTTGCTTTGTTCATTGCTCGTGTATGGAAATACGGTTGATTTTTGTGTATTGATTTTATATCCTGCAAGCTTGCTATTCTCATTATTGGTGCTGTATTAGTCAGAGTTCTCCAGAGAAACACACACACACACACATACATATATATATACATATATATATATATATATATATATTTACACACACATATCATGACATATATATATATACTGATGTCCCAGCCCAGCCAGGCAGACAGGAACAAAAAGGGACAAGTTTCTGCTTACTCCACTTTTTCGTGCTATTCAGGTCCTCGATGGATTGGATGATGCCCACCCACAATGGGGAGGGCAGTCTACTTTACTGAGTCTACCAGTTCAAATATTAATCTCATGTGGAAACACCTTCACATACACACCAAAAAATAATGTTTAGTCTAGGCACCCCATGGAATAGTCAAGTTGACATATAAAGTTAAGCATCACAGTGCTAATTGTTTTTTAGTGGATTTCTTAGGATTTTGTATATACAAGATCATTTTATCTACAAGTAGAAATAATTTTATTCTTCCTTTCCAATCTGGATAGCTTTTACTTCTGTTGCTTGCCAAATTATCTGGCTTGAGCCTCGAGTACTGTGCTGAATAGAAGTGCATCCTTGTGTTGTTCCTGATCTTAGAGAGAAAGCATTCAGTTTTCAGCATGAAGTAAGATGTTAGCTGTGAGGTTTTCATAGAGGCCCTTTATCAAGGTGAATAAGTTGCCTTCTCTGTGTGGTTTGTTATGTGTTTTCTTCATGAGAGGTGTTGGATTTTGTCAAATGCTTTTTCTGCATCTTTTGAGATGATTGTGTGATTTTTGTCCTTTATTCTATTGATACAGTGTATTACACTAATTGATTTTAGGGATGATAAAGCAACACTACATTCCTGGGATAAATCCCATATGTATATTTTGGAAGTATTTGTGAAAAATTAATATAAATTGTTATTTAAATATTTTGTAGAATTCACCATTTAAGCCATGTCAGACTCAAATGCTCTTTGAATCAGCTTTACTATCTGAATGATTCCTTATTTATTAACGATTCAAATAAAATTTTTGACACATGCTCTATCTGTATGTGTAAGGTGTCCTATGTTAACTTTTGAAGATTACACTTTGACAATTTAGTGCTTTATTATTGGCTCCTATTAGTGACACTAACAAAGACTGTCACAAAAACAGTGGTAAATATGACCAAATTTGGAGGAAGAAGCAGATCTTAATCTCTTGAATTAAGAGGAAAAGACTTTTACTTTAATATAACTTTTCATTGGACTGATGGCAAGATCAAAACTAAAGGAACTATACAAACAAAAATCATCTAATGAAGTATAAAGCATGATTAATCTAATGGACTAGCTACATGCCTTCCTAGTTATATTGAAAAGAGCTGTGTGTGTGTTTTACATTGAGATATGTACTGTAGCTGAATAACAATTCTGAAACTATATTTTATAATCTATTGAATGGTGAACAGTATACTTTAGGATTAGACAGAATATACCTTGGTCCTTAAGAGTAGGTAGTCAGACATATGACTTTGAATCCTGGCTCTGCAACTTATATGCAAATTGTTTACCCTTTCTACCTCAATTTCCTTATTTATAAATTGAATTTAATAACACATTCCTACTATGTATTCAGAGAATATGTATTGAAATACCATTTTTGTGTGTCAGATATGACTGTTGATTGCTAAGGAGACACATTGAATAAGACAAATACTGTTAAATTACCATGAGTGTTGTTAAAACCAGGCATTAAGATTAATTTTTAAATGTTTTATTCAGTTGTGGATTATCAGTTTGATTTTTTTAAATTAGATTACAGTATTCTCATTAAATTTTTAATTGTTCATCTATTTTGTTTGTCTTTTCTTTGCCTGAATTTTCATCAAGATTATTTTAGTCTTTTTCTGCTAACTCCAATTGCTGAATCACCTGTGGAGCTGTTTCACTTAATTATTTTTTTTCTCATTTTCAGGCATTAAATTCTGTCTCTTCTTATGCCTAGAAATTTTTGATTGAGTGCTGGACATCTTATATAAGAAGATGATGGGTGATAAAGATTTAATAGAGGCCTGGCAGAGTGCCAGGAATGTACTAAAGAGTCAATAAGTAGTAAAGGTTATTGCTATTGTTTATTACCATCAGTATTCTGTCATCTCTACAAATTTATATTTGTAATTGAAGGTAGTCGTGGAAGCAATTCGTATGTTTTCAAAGACCTTTAAAAGTATCTTAAACAAAAGCCAAAGGAAAAAATAAATGCATTAGTTTCCAATTGTTAAGTATATTCTACCATCTCTTTTTTTAAATGTGTTTTTAGAGCAGTTTTATATTTACAGAAAAATTGTGAAGATAGTACAGTGAATTCACATATATACCTGCACATAGTTTCCTCTATTAACATTTGACATTAGTATAGCACATTCATTACTATTAATGAAACATTATTTGTATATTATTATTAGCTAAAGTCTATTGTTTCTTCAGATTTCCTTAGTTTTTATCTAATGTCCTTTTTCTGATCCAAGACCCCGTCCAGAATAACATATTACATTTAGTTGTCATGTCTCTTTAGAGTCCTGTTGACTGTTATAGTTTCTCAAAATTGTTCTTATTTTTGATGTACTTGACAATTTTGAGGATTACTGGTCAGGTCTAATTCTTACTTTTGATTAGAGAAAAAAAATGCCCCTGAAATATTCAACTTACTATTCTTTCTTTATTTAATAAATAATTATAGTTATAAAATTTATGGACAAGTTGGATTCCAAAAACTCTTGATAAAATGAGTAGTATTCTGAGCTATTCTATAATAATCAAATGTGTGGAAGGGAGTGATAAGAGATGAACTTGTCAAGGTCTAGTCCGGGGTGCCTATCTAATGAGTTTCGTCTGCAAATTTGGTTAATAGGATGTTATTGAAGGATAATAATCAACACAAAGTGTCGTAATACATAGTATCCCTGGACAAGCTAGATGAAATGAAGGGAAAGAGAGCCATGGATGCTTTTTTTTTTTTTTTAAAGATTTTATTTATTCATTTTTTTCCCCCCAAAGCCCCAGTAGATAGTTGGATGTCATAGGTTCGCATCCTTCTAGTTGCTGTACGTGGGACTCAGCCTCGGGTTGGACGGAGAAGTGGTGCCTTGGGGCGTGCCCGGGATCCGAACCCGGGCCGCCAGCATCAGAGCGCGCGCACTTAACCGCTAAGCCACGGAGCCGGCCCTGGATGCTTTTAATTTAGTAAAATGGAGGATAACCTTTTTTTTTTTTTCAAGTTTTAAGATTTAGGTTTTAAGTTTGTTTGAGCAATCTACCTAACTTACCTTTGTTAAAAAATGAAGAGAAGAATTTATGGCACAATATAGTTAGATGCATGTGAAAGAAAACTACTTACAGAACATTTTTTTGTATATATATATATACATATATATATATATATATGTATATATGTATATGTGTATATGTGTATATATATATATACGTATATATATATTTTGTGAGGAAGATTAGCCCTGATCTAACATCTGATGCCAATCCTCCTCTTTTTGCTGAGGAAGATTGCCCCTGGGCTAACATCCTTGCCCATCTGCCTCTACTTTATATAGGACATCGCCACAGCATGGCTTGACAAGCGGTACATCGGTCCGCGCCCCGGATCCGAACCTGTGAACCCCAGGCTGCTGAAGCAGAGCACGCAAACAACCACTATGCCACTGGGCCGGCCCCAGAACATTTATATTTTGAATTTCAATTTTCCAAAGTTGATTAATTGTTATTTATGAATACCTCATATATTGAATACTCCTGTATGTTAGGTACTCTGCTAGTTATTACTCGATGCTTCCTGATGATGAAAATAATTGTAACCTCCGCATCTTGATCTTCAATCCAATTATCTAATGGAAAATATTCGGTAGTTGAATGTTTGAGGTATATTGTTACATAATAAAATTTTATTTTATTTCATTTCTGCAGAACTATTATGGATCTGCTAAGATGATTTTTTCTGACAACCCACTTGGTCTAACCTGTGGAATGGTATGTCCCACCTCTGATCTTTGTGTCGGCGGATGCAATTTATATGCCACTGAGGAGGGACCAATTAATATTGGTGGATTGCAGCAGTTTGCCACTGAGGTATGTAAGATGTACACATTGTTTTATTCCCCCGTAATTCACAAAAATCTTAAAATAACTTTAATTCTTGCTATTTTGTTGATATCCAGCATTTTTAGTGTGTTACATGGCTCAAGTATAAATGTGTTGTGCCATAAACAGTATTTTTATTCAAGCATTTGGCAAGAAAAATGAAATTTTATAAAACCATATGTCAAATTCATTGCAATCCCAGAAGGTTATTAAAGTACTTTGACTGAAAGTTATATATATTAGAGGATCTGGAAATAGAATTTATTTATTAACCTTACATTGGAGTATGGTAAGGGAACCCCATTATGAAAAGGCTATCTCACTTAACATTCTTTTCCCTGAAACTCTCCTTAAGCTTTACAGCTTGAAATAATACATCAGCATTATTTTATAATATTTTTTTGAGTAATCGTGGTTACAGAATTTTCAAAACCCCTGAAACTCAATATTCTTTAACAGTAGATTTATAAACTTATAGATTAGAATCAGATGTGTTATTTGGCTACAAATTTATAATGAAATAAAATGAAAGCATTTGTCACTATTTATCCCATACGTTTGGATGATGGCTTTCTCTTTTATGAATCCTTTGTAAATGACTTTGATTCTCTGGGACATCTTATGCTCTCTGGGGTCTCCTGTTTGGAGTCAACTACCAGGTCAATTCCCATGTATCATTTAAATGATCAGCTTATATGGAGGTTACAGTAAGATTTTGTAATCCTTGGGGTCCAGTTGGCTAGAAGGCCAAATTAAATGCCTGTCAACATTAAATTTTTAGTTAATGACTTCCCTATCTGGTTTTGTCAACTTAAACACAATGTATTCTTTCCTTTTAGGACCCCTCCCATAATATCCCTCAAGCTTAAGTCTCACTTTGCTTTTAGTAATAAATCAAGGTTATTCCCTTCCTGCTTTCTGACAGGTTAATTCTAAGGAAGGGCTCGTGGGAATGAGAAAATAGAAACAATTTGAGGTTGTGAGTTGTTGCAATAAATTCTTGGATTTAATTTCTTTTCTTACCAAATTCAAAATTACATTAGGCTTACCTGACCAGTGCAAGGTATGAGCTTTACAACCTGAGAAAATCCTTAGTTGATGGAGAAGATTCACTTGAATTCTTCCACATCTTTTTTGGGGACCCATCACCTCTTCATTAAACCAGGGCAAGCTTTCAAGGATGTAGTAAGTGAAAGGCCATACAATATGTATATGAATTAATGCTGCATTTCAAAACAAAATGAGTTAAAATAATGTTAGTTTGTCAGTGACCTGGACGAGAGAAAGAGAGAGAAACACCATTCTTTTGAGAACTCTCGCTTGATTTTAATGAGGTTCATAACACCCCTTCCCAAAGCAAAGTCTGTTTATTTAAGGCATAGCATAAATTAAGATGGCATTAAATGCATTTTAAGTGAATCATGGAATTAGGAATAGGAATGTATCTTCTTATTCTGTTCCAATTATGCTTTGTATAACTGTGACTTCAGATATATCTATCAAATCATAAATAAAAATCTCCCAGTGCAACTATGTAGAAAAGCTTTCATTCATTTTCTTTAAGTTGGCCACTTATGGCAAGTTATTTTAGAAAGTTCTGTATTCCCTAAGTCAAAAGGCAGTTTACTTAAATTTACTCAACTGTCAAAGTTGTTATGAAGATAAGTGAAATGCAAATAGCATATTAATTGACTGCCAGTGGAAAGAAAAAGTATAAAGTGCAAAATACTATAATTCTTTCAAACCACTAAACTATTGATGTGAGTACTTAAGTCGAAGCAGGACATGATGCAAATAATTTTGTGTTTTGGTTGTTTGATAAAACAATGATTGATTTTTGACCTTTAAAGGAATACAAATCTATTTTTCAACCAAATTAAGCAAAGGTTAAGAAAGCAGACTAAAATAGTATGATGTTTTTCAAAATTGTTTTTCCTGTAACGTATAAGTGATTTTTAAAATATCAACTCTGTAGTCTCCCACTATTGGTTAAATCCATGCCCTATACTTTTCCATTTGAACATGGGCTTATGATTTGGAGGGACTGTAGTAAAAAGGAATAAATCACACAAAGGACAGCCTGCAGTAGAATCAGGAGGCCAGCTGCTTTTTTTTTTGTCCTGCGTTGTCATTATTATTCAATCCTTTGCTATCCCCACATCTGCAGTGACCTTGCTTCAGACACTTTTGTGTGCCCGTGGGACAAACAAGCTACGAGGTGATTCCGACTCTATGAGGCAGTTTTTCCTAGTTCAGTTAGGTATAACAATATTGCTTCAGTAAAATAACTTGGAAATAATAGTTTGATGTGGATTTTCTTATCAATCTCATGAGGGTTTTAAAATTTCTCTACACAAAGGTAACCCTTGAAAATTTTATTTTGAAATGTTTGAGTATTTAATTGAATTTTTAAGAAATTGTATATTTTTCACATTTAATAGACCAACTGCACTCTCATTGCCTCTCAAATTTAATGAATTGTTGCAAAAGGAGAATGAAATGAGAATGTAGCTTTCTTTTTTTTTAAATTATTTTATTGAAGTCGTAAAGGTTTATAACATTGTATAATTTCAGCTGTACATTATTATCAATTTCTGTATAGACTGCATCATGCTCACCACCAATAGTCTAATTTTTATCCCTCACCATACATATTTGTCCCTTTACCCCTTTCGCCCACCCCCCCAGCCTCTTTCTCCTCTGGTAATCACTAATCTGTGGTCTTTATCCATGTGTTTGTTGATTTTCCACATATGAGTAAAATAAACCAGTATTTGTCTTTGTCTATCTGGCTTATTTCACTTAACATCATACCCTCAAGGTCATCCATGTTGTTGCAAATGGGAAGATGTTGTCTTTTTTTATGGCTGAGTAGTATTCCCTTGCATATATATACTCCATCTTATTTATCCGTTTATCCGTTGATGGGCACTTGGGTTGCTTCTACATCTTGGCTATTGTGGATAATGCTGCAATGAAGAGAATGCAGCTTTCTACTCATTTCCTAAAGTTTGAAAAATAACTATGAGTACATAATTAGCTGCATGTCAAATCATTTTCCTTCTACTGATGTTAAAGAGTTATTGGGGAAATTTAGAAAAATTAAAATTAATTCCAGGGTTCTAAAGTTTGACTTTAAATGTTAAAATCAATGAAGACCAGAGGATGAGAACTGAAAATTGCTGCCTCAATTATGAATTTTTAGGAATACATTAAATTATGAAATTGGTATCCAAAAACAGTGTTTGTTTTCCACAATAAATATTCTGTGGGATTATTTATTTTAATACCTATTAAATATATTGTTTTGTGTGGCATATACTTCTTGACACTGTACTTTTAGTTTAGTTTTTATAGTTTTAGTTAAGAGTAGAACTGACAAATGGAATTCCATACTAAATCAGATGACTGAGAACAGAATCTCTTTAGATTTTTGTTTAATTGTATCTCTCAGCAGGTTTTTTATATCACCTCTCATTTGACATTACCCAGTTCTTGTCCTACCATCATGTACTATTTATCTATTTATACATCATCTTATACTATTTCTATTTATTTCTATGTTTTGTTGAGTAGACACAGTTCAAATCAAATTGATCAGTACTTAAAATGCAATAAAGTATACACTTATACAATTCAAACAGCCAGGTGTTATGAGACTACATTAAAGAACATTTTACAATTACTTAAATTACATCAACATTTATATTTTGCCTTAAATCACAATAAATAGTTTGAAGAATTGTGAATGAGGAAGGAACATGCTTACTTGAGTTACTTTGTGATTATTTTACTATGACAAATATTATTTCTACCATATCTTCATGTTGAACATGAAAGTCCCTAAAAGCCTTCAACTTTTGCCTTCTAAGCATATTTGAGGGGAGTATAAAAATACGTGTACTAATAAATAAGAGTATTCCGTGTCCTTTCTCAAATAATGTATTTATGTGATATATCCCATCTATCAAAAAAAGTGAAAAAAAAAGTGGAAAAGTAGAGAAGACAAAGAAAAAAAATAAATGCAGTCCTCAAATTAAAACAAATTACAAAAAAAAATATATATATATACATAAACTGAAATATGAGATTGGGTATACTCTAACTGTGTGTTATGTTGATTGCTTTATAAGTAAGATCATCAAATGACAGAGATACTTTGGAGAGTGAATGAAGATGTTATTAATAATTAATCCAGTGCAGCAGGCACAAACCAGGACTCTCCCAGGCGAACTGGCTTGTATAAACACCCAGTGTAATAAGCTCCCACTAGGTAAGGATTCAATTAATCAAACAAACATTGATTAAGCATCGATTAGAGCTAAGTGCTGTTGTAGTCTGCTTCCAAACTACAGGTCCTGGGAAACATTGTAGTTACTTAGGAAATAATAAAAGCCAAATTTAATTTCAGTTAAATTTTGTAGCAAACTTAATAAGACATATGCATTTACATTAGCATCCTTGGACTGATAATCCAATCTTCATTAATTTTTGTCACTTGGTTTTGGAGGTGATTAGACCTTAGCACAAAGGGAAGGATCCGGCAGGGAGAAAATGTAGAGTATAAATACACTATACTTGCATAGCACTTGAATGCATTTCTGTAATATCTCACTTTACAATGTTGAGAAACACCCTTGAGACATGAAAGCTAGGTAATGTTTTTCCCATTTGGACATGAGAAAACTAAGGATCAAAGTGATTAAAAAATCATAGTTAACATTAAACAAACTCCTCTTGCCCTGGACAATGTTAGGTACATTACTCAGAACTTGGCTAATCCTCAGAATAACCCTTTAGGTAAATGTTATCATCTCCATTTTATGTATGAGTAGCAAGAGGCTCCGTGAAATTAACTTCCACAAGCTCACATCTAATGAGGCAGATCTAGAAAACAAACCTATTGCTCTAATTTCCATTGTTTCACAAACTCTAAATTGCCCCAGATAATGTTACAAGTCATCGATCCAAACTCAGTGTAAACCCAG